GTATTTAGGGCCCCCACCCGCCGCTCAGGGGTGGGGGCCAGGGGGGAGGACCTTAGGTCCCCCCCCTTTTAAGTATTTAGGGCCCCCACCCGCCGCTCAGGGGTGGGGGCCAGGGGGGGAGGACCTTAGGTCCCCCCCTTTTTAGTATTTAGGGTCCCCACCTTAGGTCCCCCCCTTATTCCAATTTAGGGCCCCCACCCACCGCTCAGGGGTGGGGGCCAGGGGGGAGGATATTAGGTCCCCCCCTTCTTAGTATTTAGGGCCCCCACCCACCACTCAGGGGTGGGGGCCGGGGGGGACAGAAGTTCCCCCCCTATTGTTTTTTTTAGGGCCCCACCCACCGCAAAGGGGTGGGGCCGGGGGGACAGTAGGTCCCCCCCCATATCATTGAGTTAACTTTGACAACCCCCCCGCGCGGCGGGTGGGGGGTTGTCAAAGTTAACTCAATGATATGGAATAGGCGGCGGACCGAACATCGCATATGTTCGCCCGCCGTGGCGAACGCGAACATGCGATGTTCGCCGGGAACTGTCCGCCGGCGAACTGTTCGGGACATCTCTAATTATAAGTGGGTCATTCAGCCTCCAAGTGGTTTGACCATTCGAGGGGAATTGTTCGTTTAGTGTTATAGGGGCATGGTCTGACCACGAAATGAGGCCAATATAAGTGCTCAGCACTTTCTCTAGGGATGTAGCTCTGATCAAGAATCTATCAATCCTTGAATAGCTGTTGGGTGCAACAGTATAACAAGTGTAATCAATTTCAGATGGATGGGAAATCCTCCTTGGGTCTAGTTTTCGGGTTATTTTGGTTTTCGGAGCTCTCTTGAAACACATGCAGTGAGTATGCCTGTTCTCATTACACATTTAACCATATTCAGGCCTCCGCGGTCTGTCACAGTTTTACCTAAGCCTCATATAAACCACAACTCTTGTTAACTCTTGTCACAGGCTTGTTAACTAGAGATGTTCCCATCTTTCTCATACTTACTTCAGGTCCTTCTTGTGGAAGGATACACACTGGGTACTCATAAATAAATGCTGCACTTCTAGGAATCTCTCTTTCATATCCAAATTGATTAGCCTAGGTTTATGCTTAAAATTATAAGTCCCATTATTACCTAGGTATTTACTGTGCCTACGTATCATCTTGTTGACATTTTAATTATTAAAGGGACACTATAGTCACCTGAGCAACTTTAGCTTAATGAAGCAGTTTTGGTGTATAGAACATGCCCCTGCAGCCTCACTGCTCAATCCTCTGCCATTTAGGAGTTAAATCCCTTTGTTTATGAACCCTAGTCACACCTTCCTGCATGTGACTTGCACATCCTTCCATAAACACTTCCTGTAAAGAGAGCCCTATTTAGGCTTTCTTTATTGCAAGTTCTGTTTAATTAAGATTTTCTTATCCCCTGCTGTGTTAATAGCTTGCTAGACTCTGCAAGAGCCTCCTGTATGTGATTAAAGTTCAATTTAGAGATTGAGATACAATTATTTAAAGTAAATTACATCTGTTTGAAAGTGAAACCAGTTTTTTTTTTTTTTTTAAGCAGGGGAATGATCTATACACTAAAACTGCTTTATTTATCTAAAGTAATTTAGGTGACTATAGTGTTCCTTTAACAATAACACAGGTACATTATACCCTTATCCAATTAGCACTAACACCATCCTGGACATATTCCCATTGGGCCTTTAGGTTCCTCTCTATGATATTCCTTTCTCAAGCTCAATCACACACTAGTTGGGCAAGATATGTACGTTACAACATATTTTCTATCAATTCATTACATTTCTATTCCCCTACATTTCTTATGACTGGCTGTAAAAGGTATTGGTGCAAACTATATTCTATTATAATTGTAATTCAATACTGCAAGGCCAACTCCCATCCTTATGCAGAGGTATTTGTTCGTCAGTCCAACTCAGTTAGAGGCTCACTCCAACCTCTCTGGGTTTTCAAATAGGGCCTTACCTGTCATGGCCACTCATTGGATTCTCTTACTTGTCACCGAGATGTCAACATTCTTTTCACTTCATTCAGTGGCCTCAATCCCTATCATAGCTAGAGCCTCTAGCAGCTACTTGGCATTTATTAGGGTCTCACCTTCCCCTCGCTTAGCTAATTTCTTTGCCATTCGGGATTATGCAAGTCACCACTTGATGCAGGGTTACACTATCACCAGCATGGCCATCACGTTTGCCTTTAATGTCGTATGTCTCACACCTTAAGAAATATAATAACTGGAGAAGTAAGAATCTCCCAACTTAGTAGTTCCTAATTCTCCTATGGAGTACCC